TATAATAAGTATTTTGCAGTTGTAGGTTTTTAAACCTATTTATGCTCAATCTTGTATTTTCAGTTGGACAATTCGAAAGTACGTCGATTGAACTCTTAGTATATGAGCTGAGCTGTATAGTTACAAAAGCCTTCAAATGAGACTGAAACGTGAAAACTTATATGTATGTAACACACAACTATTATACCTAGAAAGTAAAGTATTTTTTTAACAGGTGACGTGATTCACTTGATGGAAGGTGGAATATCCCTGTCTTTGGCTTTGGGTTTAATGTTTTAAAAAAAATATAAATCTCATGTTGGACCCGATGAGAATCCAATCCACAACCATATTATAATTGGCCTTACATTGCTACCAAAGGAAAAGTTATATCGAGTTATTCATCGCTTAAGTTCCATCGCAAAGTTTAACCTCAGAAACATTTACCGTTTTTATATCCCGCTTAACATTTGTGCATTCGCCATTAAACTTGTACAACCCTATAAATAATAATGCAGCTATTACAGCGCTAAATCTCGGTTTATAACCTTTACTTGTGCCCGCGACTTCGTCCGCCTGGAATACTTATTGTGGACATCAAAATTTATTTCTGCAAATAATCTCCTCAGTTTTATAAGCTATCGCTTTTACCCACGACGTCGTCCGCGTCCCGTCGTTCTTGCGAGTTAATCTTAAAAGATAAACATATACTGTCGTGGATAGTTCATGTTCATTCAAAGACCTCAGAAATGAGTAATTTTCCCGTATTTTTTTTTATTTTTTCTACTGTTTCTGCGCTCCTATTGTATTCTATCCTATCTTAGATACCGTAAAACCTTCCTCGATAAATGCGACGAACACAAAAATAATTTTCCAATTCGAACAAGTAGTTCCTGAGATTAGCGCGATCAAACAAACTCTTCAGCTTTATATATTAGTGTAGATATCCTGAACACGAAGCCTTTACCACTCCGACATTATGCTCAACTGCAACTGAATATTCGAGCGACAAGCCCATCCCTCATTGTGGGAGAGGCCTCTAAATCACCGGCGCGTGAAACATTTATACTCCGGCACCTGTAGTGCGAATTCAGTCTTATTATAAATCGTACACGCCTGCTATTTTATATGCAGCTAGTTCTGCCCCGCGGTTTATCGAGCGATTCTGTTTCAAAACATAAAGGTACATTTACTTGTTTAACAGACAGAGAGGCAAACAATTGATAATACTTAAGTCAGATAGGCAGATAAAAAATACTTCTATATTAAGTTAATATCTATTTTATATTGGTAAAAAAACGACACTGACGGGCATCCTCAACCACTTAATGTATCAATAGTTTGAAAAAAGTCGACAATGACGTATAGAACATGGTAGCTAAATTGGTTAGATCAACAGCACGGAACGCTGACGATGCCGGTCTAAGTTTTGCCGGTATCGTGATTTTTTTTCGAATTAAAATCAATTTTCAGTTAACGCCATCATGTTCAATAATATGTAGAAATAATACGAAAAGCAACGCTTTTTTTATAAATTTTGTAAATTGTTTTTCGAAAATTACAAACAGACGATCAGATTATTGATCAGATTAGATATGAATATAGGATAGCCGTAGCCTCAATAGTATTTCAGAATATTACTAAGAAATACTGAAATCAAAAGCCTTCTTAGCTCCTTCGTACTAACGGAGTACGTATTTCAAAGTGGTAAATAAATTACAGTTGAGAAAAGTCGTTGTAATGCACAATAAAGATGGGCTGATCATGACCCTTCCAGTATTTAATGCTCGTTTTCTAACGGATTCGATTCCAGATAATAATTTATCTGATGTTGCTATCTAATAAAATATAAATAATTTCTCGAGGATATATTCCAACTTTACCTCTAGTACTGTCAATATGATGTCTCGCTTGTTCAAGCAGTAAGAATAATTATTGTGATACGGAGATTTCTTTAGAATAAATGCAATTAATTATAATACACAAATTAATTTAAAACTTACACAACTTATAATAAAAATAAAATATACCCTAGGAAGGTACAGATAAAGTTTTTATCTCAATTCATTTGATATTCAACATTACTAATATACTGACATTAAATAATAGTCTTTTTAGGAAAGTGACTTTTCTACATATGAAATCGATCAAGAACATCTACAACTCACAACTAAAGGGCTATATACCAAAAATTGAAATTTTGAAAACCGACAAAAATATAAACTTAATTAATAAAACCTGCAATACATATAATAACTTATACGTTACAATAAACAGATTACTTCTCTTTTGTATATAAGGATGACAAAACTTAATAATACACTCTAGAATGTATGTTATTACGGAAAAATTATTACAATTTATTCAGTAATTCCGACTCCGTTGACATTTCGTGTAATATTACACAATCAATTTATGCATTACAGTGCATTATGTATTAGTGAATAGACGCAATGATTGTCGTCCCATTTTGTTATTAACATAATTCGGAATCAATTTGTCATATGCTTCGTGAGTCGTACTTTACTCAAGATTAATTTTCAGTTCACTTGATGTTGGGTAAAAAACCCCAGACTATAGGATCTAAACATATTGCGCTGTTGACCTATCTTAGCGTCGGATATTCGGTAATACATAGTCTGAAACCGAAACGCGATTAAACTTCACGGCTTTTTCATCTGTGGACGGTGGTTCCTGACCCGGACGGAATTATATCTACTCCTCAAATTAAAAAAAATCCATATTTCCGGACGAATTCCAACACGTTTCACAAAAATTATAAATTGATTTAAAAAAATGTTACTCCCGGTAGGCATCGAACACACAATACCGTCAAAACCTCCTACAATAATCAGCAAAAACCAAAACTGCATATATTAACGTCATATAATGAAACTTTGGAGCTATATTTAGTAGAAACTTTACGCAGTCAGTAAGTATGTGAATAGGAAAAAATTGTTGCACGGTCTTTGTTTTGCACAGTTTAATTATTATAATCAAAAAAGACACTTCCAGGAGGCAACCCACCTTCCATGCGTAATTGAATAATATAACACTCTACAATATATCATCTATATACCGTCTTCCAAGTTTTCGTCAAGGATTTACGTAAAACTGTATTTCTAGAACCTTTATCTTAATTATGGAGGTATATAAGAGGTAATAGGGTGAAGCGAAATCTAGCGAGACTAGACAGTGACAGTAAAGTTTCTGTGTGCACTTAACTTACATCTCATTAGAGAGACACCTACACCAATTAACCGCTGTGCTGCTCTCAGCGTCACGCGCTAAGCCCCCAGGGCTACCACAGACCCACTTCAATTACCAATTACTATAATCATTTTCTTTAGGCATTACAATACTATTTTTATCATTTGCGTTGAGATAACTTCGTCCTTTTACAACCGTTTGCATCTACTGTCCTAAGCCATCGGACACCCTATCAATGAATTTTTTGAACGGGCAGGGCACAAAAGTCTGTTTATCTGCGTGTAAATATAAAGAAGTATTTTATAGGAAAAATTAGGAAAGTTTTGTTAAAATACCACTATATCTTGAAATATAACCACCCTAACGTAATCTAAATAAAAAGTAAGACTAGGCAGGCCCTATGAGACGCAAACTGAACGTATGGTAATGTTGCAAATAGCGGAACATTCTTAGCGCCCGCGTCGGTGAGAACTACCTAACTGTAACGTTCATTTTAATTCGACGATATTCACTAATCAATAATCACTAGCTAACTAAAGCTCTGCTTGAAAAAAAAACGAAACTATGAGTTAAATTGATTACATGGAATATGGCTATGGTAATTGTAATTTTAATAGTAGTTAATAAACCCTAAAAAAGATCAGAACTATACCCTTATTCTATATATAAACCTTTGAATTACCAAGTAGCTTTAGTCTTGACTTCACACAGCACAAAGCAGCTTAATTTGTAAGAGCAAAAGCACGAAACGCTGTAGATACCAGTTCAAGTCCCGCCCGTTTCGTAAAATTATTTCAATTGAATATTTTTTTTTAGTTATTTATTTCATATACAAAAAAGGAACAGCAATAAACAGATTATATTTAATATATGATTAAATGGAAAAACACACAAGCATAACGCGCTGCTTTGTTTAGTAACGATGTTAATCGAATTACGACATGTTTACTACAATACAATGCCTATATTTCCTGAATGCGACGGTGAGTTTGCTTTTTTTAATTAAAGAAAAGACATTTAAGAGTTCTGTAAAATAAATCAAAGTCGTATAAACATCGGTGTGATACTTTAAATTTAAAAAAAGAACACGAAACACTACTTATAAAACTAAATAGTGTAGCATCGATATGTGTAGTGTACTACGAGTATTGTTTTACTCAATTGTAACCTACTAGAAAGTCGATTAAGGCATTTGTCTAAACAACTGCGTAGAATTTGCCCCAAAATTCCAGCTACGCATTTTGCGAAAGTCAATTGTTACCAAGCCCCAACTATCCTGAATATTCTGTTCCCTCCTACATTGAAATATTCAGTATTTACAAATAACATATGCCTAACTTTCTCTCCTAAAACATTAAATCAGTCGTAAATTAAAAATAAATTCGAGTCAATTATAAATTGTAACTACCGACTACCGCATTACAACGATTATTAAAATTAAATTAAAAGCATTCAAAACGAAATGAAATTAATCAGAGCATTATTGAAGTCGGTTATAAAAACGAATCTGTTCTTTGACGGACGCGGTAGTCTATTGACAAGCATAATATAGTAAAACAGATTTGTGTAGCTTATAAATAAATTACTAAAAAGCATTGACTTAATCATAATAGACTAATGATTATGATCAAGTTTAAGTATCTTAAGACGTTTATTATAGATTTGTGAAGAATACCTTCAGCATTAGGTCTACTAGGTTTTTTCTAGAATCAGTAGTTGTCACATTGCCCGCCTAGGCGTGACGCGTCGTGTTACATTACACGCTCGTAGAGAACAAATTAGATTACAAGCAAAAACCGCGTGACGAATACTTAGCCGAAGCGTTGGTCGGAGGCGGCCGCGCCGATTCGTCCCGCTTCGCTGAACACTTCAGGGTGGCCATCAAACTCTGAGAAAACACCAATTTGGGAGTAGCCTTTAAACCATTAACATGCAACACTGGTAGCTTTTTAATGTAGTGTTTAAAAATATTTTTTCTCCACGTCTATATAGGCTATGGTTCTCCGAGTCTGTAAACTGGGATGAAGCTTGTAATGTTAATCTATAAATTACGTATTGTCTATGGTTCTTTTCAAATTTCGAATTTCTAAATATACGGAATTTTATGGAAAAATCATTAGACTCTTCTTCCCGACTGCCCTATACTGTAACATCACAACATTTTTTACTATTGTAACTATTCACATAACGACGCATACAATACAGAGTAAAACCTCAACATAAAACATAGATTGAATGATTTCCTTTTTAAACAATTTTAACGATAGAAAATAATGATATTTTTTTAATTGTATTTTATTTTTCAAATCGCTATCTATCCAGATGCTAAGTTCTTCGCGGCCAGTGTTCTGTAGTGTATCCATTGCAAATAAAGGTTTGCGGCCTTCGTTGTGTCGGCAGAGAACAAAGCTATCCGTAATTAGTAATTACACGGATTTCCCGCCACTCCACTGCTCGGCTGGAATGTAATCAAGCACCATTTACCTGAGCTCCTTGCTTTCATCGGTAATCCATTATACGTATACGAGATCACCTGGTAAATTTTTATCAACCGCTAAGTTTACTTAGAACCAATTTTACCGAGAAATAAAGACATTGGTTAAAATTTACCAACTTCAAACTATCGATCAAATGGTAAATCGATGATTCTAAACATAAGATAATGACAGTCGTTTAAATCTGTAATCGATGTTATTCTTCGCTGAGTCGCCAATACTAGATGAAGGCAGTTTATTTCAAAACTTAATGGATGTAAATGTCAAAAATTATGATGTTTGGATTTTCTAATAATTACTGATATATATATTGTCGAAACAATATTGATTTTAACATTTGTTAAATATTTACCTACGTTTACTTATCCAATGATGGTTATTTATATAATATATCGTAACTAAATACCATACAATGTTTGATTAAAAACTATTTTTGAACGCAAGTGTCATACGATAACTGACGGATCGAAAGAACCCGTCCTGGGAAGCTTAAAGTTATGTTAAATGCGTGTCTATCTAATCTTTTTCTACGTGAGCTTTAGCTTCTAGTAAATGTATATTAACGTCGTTACGGCCTGTTTACGTGTCTTCACGTGTCGCCACACACATTATTATAGCGTGATACTGAGCATTATGTTAAAATTATGAGAACTTTATCTTTGTTTTCGAAATAAAAAAGATATGGCTAGCGATATATAGAATAAAATGGAAAACACATTATTTACTTAATACTTTTCGTAGCCTGTATAAGTAGGATGTTGAACAATAACTTAAGAAATTAAATTAATTGGTTTATGGTTTGACTCTAAGGTGTTAACTGTCTAGAAAACCTTTTATATGCCAATACTATTATACCATAAAAAAACATTTATATAATACTCTTTAACGGTTTAAAACGCGATATGATTAGTTATACGCAGTAAAAAGACGAAATGTCAAAAGTTAACTAATATATATCGCGTTCTAAACCGTAAAAGTGTTTTATTTAATATGTACTACTCGCGTATACAACAGACTGTCTTTAAAACGAAAAAAATGCCTAAGAGAAACTTAGAAGGTCCGAACCGTGAATTCTTGTGTGTTATATTTTGTAATAATCATTATATTATGGCAGTTACCTCGAATTGAGCAGATTTCATCAGAAAATGTTTCTACGAATTAATGACATAAAACATATGTTTTATTCTATGTTGTATGATACAAAGAAGTATTTCGCGTGTACATGGTGGTCGTTGACCCCTGACGGCGTCTTAATTAATGTTAATGGGTTAATTTCAACGAGATCGTTTCCTGGGAACGTAATATGCTGAGATACAGTTGACTTCGCTCATTTTGCATATAACATTTTTACAAGGTAAAATAACAAAACTGTCTGTATTTTACGCGAGTAGTATATAAAACACTAACGGTTTAAAACGAAATGGTTTAAAAATAATTATCACATAACTTTAACTAATATGTATCGCGTTTTAAACCGTTACCGTGTTTTATTTAAAAGGGAAAATAAGTTTAATTAGCGCTATAAGTAAGAGTTACATTATTACTAACTACTTAAGTAATAAAGTAAATCTTGACAGTGTCTATAGTTTACGCGAGTATTACACATTGAAATAAAACACTTTTAATTGTTTAAAACGCGTAATGTATCAGGTAAATTTATTCTAAGTACCACCCGATAGTTTGGATGCTTTGTAGCCCTGTCCTTCACGTATTCTTTAAAAGTAAATCTTATTTTCAGCATAATTTTTATAATTAGACTACCGAACTTGTCAGGCTATTTATTACACATGTTTGCCCAGAATTGAAAAACCAGGATATTATACAGTCACTGAAGCGATGAAACTATTTTAAGTTATGTAAAAGAAAATTCGGGAATAAGGGTAAAATAAAAATATTCATATACATATATGTAAATTGCATTAATAGTTTTCCAGATGATATATTATCTCCATATGAAAACTAAGAACATTAATTGCATTTTCTCAGGTCTTTGTAAAGTACTGCGCTCGTCAAGTCAGTAACTGTCGAATTAAAGCGATACAAAGCGTAAAATTAAACGCTTTTTGTGTATCTGTGGGAGAACCGCGGTCGTAGTGCTGTTACACTTTTATTACAATGATCTTGTACTGGTTTTAACGTACCCATATTGTATCTTAAATTACACTTTAATTGTAGAAAACGAAGTATTTGGTATAGTTTCAGTATTTTAATTATTAACTTGAGCTGATATTTCTGAAACTTTTTGGTATATATTTTCAATTGACACTGAGCGCGGTCCATATACTTAAATTTATTGTATAACATAGTTAATTAACGGTGCACACAAAAAAAGAAATATTGTTAAATGAAACTTTTATTTTCGCAAAAGAAGAGCACACGATTTTCTTAAGCTTTGGATAATATTCGCATGTTAGTAACGTCCCCGAGTTTTGCAGAAAATTATCAATACTGCCTTGTTATTTGTTCACATGATGATGGTCACAATTCAATTTTCAGAGCAACGTAAAGCTTTTTCTTCAATCTAATATAATACATTTTATTTTTAATACTTTAATTTTAATTAAAAATCGACTTTAAATTGAAAATATACGATTTATTTAGAAAGAAACTAATTGATTTTTCGCGTACTTTGCAATATTAATTACAATTATGTTGTTATATTACAATTATAATTTAATTTATTTCATAAATAAAATAAGCCTAACTTGCTTGTATATAAAACGACACATACTCACTGAGTGGTCGATAGTAAATCGAGTGAAAAATCGATGATCATCGCATTGTTTCCCATCACTATAGAACAGTGGCGTGCGGTAGCAAGTCATGCGCGCTAATGGCTTGCCCGTGGCCCACCTCCAAACTTGCTCTAATCCCGTTGTTACGCCCATTATAACTATTAAATTATAAATTATTCAGGGTCAAAGACTTCCTGTCTTCACAATACTTTAAATTATTTTTAATTGCGTTACTCAATTCGTTTATTTATATGTTCTTTTATAGTATGTGTTCTGCCAAGAGATCAAGATTCATGCTATAACAACTTGACTATGCATCAGTTGTTGAGTGCATTAGAGAGAGCTCCAGAATACTAAGCGAAATTCTTCTAAGATGGCGTCTTCAATGAGAACCATATTGTTAGCGTTATGAGCTGAAGCGGGAAAAATTTACAGTAAGCTCGCTACCTACTATGGTATCTAACAAAACTTTATATTAATAATTTAACGAACTAAATATTAACACTAAATTTAAGTAAGATACAGATAAAAAGTTAGGTAATCTTAAATGGATGATGATAATATGCAATGAACTGAATTATTAAAATTGTGTTATTTTGAGCTGTTGAGATATCTACAACAGCAACAATAACCAACAGAGACAATAAATAAAAGGCGCGCTATGCTAAGATTGCATATCTAAAAAGGATTTGCATAGACTATTTTGTATTCTTGTTTCTGCGTTACGAAAATTAAAAAAATAACCTAAGTTCAGAATTTTTCTTTGTCGCTTCCGCTAAGCCCGTCAATAAGCTATGTAAAAGTTTTCATGATTCACGTAAACGGTTTAATTCCAATGCTCAGCATGCTGCGGCTCTATCTCGTCATCTTGAGAGTTTATGAAGTGCTCGTTAGTATTCAGAACCCAGCGTCAACCAACTAAATGGAGATATAGTAATTTTTAATAATCCTCCATTTTGGGATGTCTATGTCCCCATTTTGTCGCAACTTTTATATTTCTTCATCTTACAAATATAAGTAGGTACCAAAAGAAAAATAATTTTGCCACTCTAATTCTATAATTAAAACTGTTCTAAGTATTGGATAATCTGTATCACTTAGTCTAAAATTCCTTTAGTAGGTATAGATTTAAAATATGCGTACGAGGGCGTACAGAAAAACTGGAATAAGTTTTTGTTCACACCTTTTTGTATGTCATATAATGTTTGTAAAAATTTTAATAAATGAAAAAAATCTCATACAGACTTGTGTCGTTTAAAGTGGATTGCAGAGAAAAATAGCAATAAATCAATGATTAAAGATTTTAATTGGAAAGGAATCAACTATACTAACTACTAAGCTACATTTAATTTTAATACCAGCCCAATATATTCTAACCTATAGCATAAAGAGATAGTTCTGTGGTAAAACTTGATACCTAAGATTGCGTTAAACCCCACAGCTCTCAGGTAGAGTTAGGTCGTGGGGTCTTTCGGGAAAGGTAGCAAAGTTTGATCAACTACTTACACGTAGCAATATGCCCCTATAACCTACGCAGGACGCATGCACGTTTTTCTATAGAAATTCTCCCCTTCACAATCGTGGTGTCGAAGTTGATGTGGTGCGTGGGTTAGCAACAGAGTCCGTTTGTCCGACAATGATTTGCGCAAATGATGGGTGTGTACCCTATAGTTATGTTGCTATTATCCGTTCTCTGCTCAACTAGATAAATTGCTTATCGATGACGAAACACTTGATTACCGAACTGTGGTTTTGCTTCACATAGACTGAAACGATCCTTTATGTCAATACCATTGTTCCTCTTGTAATTCTTGCACATTTGAATATTAAATGGTTATGAAAAACGGTCTATAGATGAAAAAGACGTCGGCGTTTCACTTCCAGTCTATGGATTGTCTGCCCGTCTCTATCATAAAAACATACATAAGTTTTATAGTTAACTACAAATAACATTAATTATTTTGTCCTGTAAAATTTTATTATTTTAATACATGGCAAACTTTTGTTATTTATATACATGATGGTATTTTATGGATGTCGTATTATTTTTCAATATTAATATATCTTCAATTTAGTTATTAATACACAGTTTTCTAAACTTAAAATAAAAGAATTAAAGGACCCTTTTATACTCGATGATAATAAGAAACATTGCAATTAGATAAGTTTTTATTTAAAATGATTCTCCCAGGCAATTTCTTAACATTTGACAAAATCTCACTAAGTAATATCAAACGTTTAAGAACCCAATTTGGATGATTGCTGTGTTGCCAGCTTTTGCTGATTGATGGTCACACAGCTGTACACAGTAATTCATCTTAATAACACTCAGAAGAACCAGTTCGGAGTCGCACAACTCAGCGGTCAATAATAGGATGGTGTGGTGGGGCCCTAAAATTTGGTGCTTTTAAAACAGCTGGATTTCCGTTTTTACGCATACAATAAATATTATTAAACAGTGGTAAATAATAATCACATTCAATGTATTTAAGAAAATGGTAACAATATCTAGATACAGTGACTTTTTTGATACAACGTAGCGCATCTATCTACCAATTTCAGACAAACTCCGTCATCTTAAAATAAATTGGATTAAAGATAGGTTAGGTGAAGTTAGAAACTATAGGAAATATAGTTTTAAATAAATGCTTATTCACAAAACTGAATCTAAACAATGCGTGTTTAAATATTATCTACTTCAAAAGTGTATAGCTTTGACAGTCACAAAAGAACGTATAAATAAAATACTTTCAACGGTTTAAAACGCGATACATATTAGTTAATATTATTATTATTATATAATTAAATTAAAAATATGATAATAAATATATTTCTCGTTTTAAACCGTTAAAAGTCTTTTACTTAAACGCGTACTTAAATGTGAAATGAAATGAATACTGAAACTAACCCAGTAATGACAGATGTACTTATTTTAAAATTATAATTAAATGTTTTTGACATCGGTTGAAGGGAAAATCTTTAACGTTGTTACGGTGAATGCAATTAAATCGAGAGTAACACTCGATAAATCACATTTTTGTGATGCGCGTCAGTGTGGTGTGTTATTATCTTGCGCTCGCGCAGAACGCTACCGTAAATGTTGCTATTAAATAAATTACACCCCACATTCATCAACATATTTTTAATGTTTATGACCTTTTGTCTAGGTTCAAAAGAGTGGAATGCAGTAATTTCCAAAAAAGGATTTCTGATCTAAATAATCATACAAAGGTTCCTAATACTAAAATTCCGTTTGTCCGAGTGAGTCATGAATCCTTACTGACCTACTCGTATGCCGCTATAACAAGGAAAAAGAAACAATTGAAGGAAAGATAATTTCAATTGGGAATGGGAGCCCATATATGAAACTAACTAGTCTTTGCTAATTATATGTCCAATTAAACGAAACCTTCTGAATGTGATAGTTGATTTATTATTTTTAATTCGTTAAGCCGACTGAATTATCAAAGAGTCAGCTGTTATTATACCTACACTATTAGTAAAATTAAGAAAAAACATATTATCTTTGAATGTAGGTATCTGATGTATAAGTATTATACGATACTAAGAGTTCTCAATTAAACAAACACCATGACTGAATACAGTCTTATGCAAATTACAAGTTGACGTTTGTGGTTTTTAAACTCGATCCAGTCGTATAGCGCATGTAAAAACTGAGATGCATCGTAATGAGCATTACACGTGCATACTGCAGACTTCCCACGAGCAATTTTATTATCTCATTAGCGTGAAGAACGTCTTCATAAAGTGTCGCCGGAGCTGCCCTGCCGCCCGCGGGACATCGTTCATTACCACAGTAATAGCTTTAATAAAATCGTACAACGACTTCCACTATGTTCACTCGCTCGTCTACATTATATAAATACATCGCATACATTACCGTGTCAATAGCACTCTTGAAAAGCCAATCGCAAAAGACAGTAGTAATGAATGCATTACAATTCATCTAGTACGAGTCGGTTTGAATATTAGTACTTAGAATGTGATTGCAGCAGCGCCTGCAGGCGGCAGGAGCGAGAAGGGCGTGCGTTAACAGGTGGTTACCCCAGGGTTCGCCACTGAGCCCGCTACCATTGCAAGTGTTGACTCTACAATAATGACATCGCTTGTAATTTCCCTCGGGCGATTCGCTCTGTACAAAATGATTTAAATCGCAATGCTTCATTATTTATTATCGTCGGTCTATTTTTACGTCTATAAGATTAATGCGCAGAGAATTTAGATCGGTTTTGATTTTAATTATGCTTTTATGATCAACGCGAGAAATCATATTATATCGTTGTACAGTGGATACTAACTGATTGAATGTAGTATTTTGGTAAATAATTTATAAAGTTAAAGCGATTATATCGCAATACTGTCAGTTGGTATTTATGTCTCCGATATGATAGATGTGGATAGCCGCGGGCGCAGTTCGACATGTGAACGGGCTTGCAAAATTTTAACACATTATTTACAGATAAACGCTCTTTTCGTTTTAACTTAAGCTCAAGGTATTTAATTATATAAGTTCTAGAGGTAAAAAAGGTGTTTATAAAACGATAATTATCGTTTTATAAACACCATAATCTCTAGAAGTTGTGTTATTATTTTAAATGATAAACGTCTGATTAGTATTATTATTTTCAAATAGGAATCGATGATGAAAATTATCTATGTAGATAAATAACACAAACGAATATTGAATGGATCCGGGCAAGCAAAGGGATTGCGGGACTTTGTTTACACGCAACTCTTGATTTATTGGTGTTTGAAGGTTCTACCCAGTCGATCGCTCGTTGCAAAACTATTGCGTCTTTTGTATGCCCAATTTGCACATTTATCCCCATAAACGTGAATTCGAGCCTAAAACATGTACTAGGAAATTGAAGTAATATTTTAAGCCAGAAATCACAGCTGTAGCCTACAATAATGTCGAAAGCTCGATTTATTATTATGACTGACATTTTCTAGAATCTTAGAGGAACTACTTAAGACGAATTGTGTATATGTACATTTACGAACAATGCAGAGCTCGCACGTTAATAAAGATTAATAAGAAAAAGATTTACACGTTAAGAAATGTTTTCCTTAAAGGATTTCAGAATTTTTGTACATTAAAAAGGGTAAAACATACGGTTAACGTTCGAGTG